GATAGAGATAGAGATAGAGATAGAGATAGAGATAGAGATGATATATAGATATAAAGAGTAGATCCTACATGTTGCTCATTGGGAGACGGTTTGGACTTGTTTATGAACTCTACTCTTCCATGCTAACTGCTGGCATATTGATTATTCATTTTTAAAATCCTAGACACTTTAACCTTTACTGCAGGCACCAAATTTCCAGTGACCTGCCCCTCAAGACCTCACTTACTTTAAAACTCCAAAGTATTTAACCCCAAATTGCACATCAAATGCCAAATCATGGATGTCAAAGAGAGCTAAGGTTTTATGTTCTCTTTCTAATGTAGCTCTTGCCCAAAGAGCCTGACTCTGTACAGTGGTAGAAATAAACACAAAATTATGGCACTGTGCTATTTTAAGAGTGTAACATGTCCTGATCTTTTATGGCAAAATGACAGTCTTTCTATGAGTAAAGGGACTTTAATGGTCAGCTTGGGTTCTATTTCATTATCCAGAATCCAGGGGACCTGTCCTGGCAAAATGTGGCTCAGATCATATCTCACACTTTTTCTTTCTAGATTTGGCCGAGGGTTTACTGTCAAGGTTCACTTGAAGAATACCAGCGTGAGTAGGGAGGCCCTCACCAGGTTCATGCAGCTGCACTTCCCCAAAACATACTTAAAGGTAAGTAGGAGATGCTCCCACCACTTGATCTCGACTAGCTTTATTAGTCGTAAATGTAATTTCGTTGTCTTCAGTGTATCAAGCACAGCGTTATTATTAATGTTATTATATTTAGCAGTTCAAGACACATGAGATACTCTGGGGGATAGTGAACATGAGCTGATAGAATCATCACAGTGAGTGATGTATGTTTAGCTTTCTGCCATTCACAAGCCCTTTTTCAAATTTATCCATTTCTTCCTCACACAGGCATTAGGACTGTGGGTGAATTTTCATTGTGGATATATGTGTGTCAGAGACAGTGAGATTGGCACAATCTAGAGAAGGGCTTATGGCTGTTGCATGCAGGGTCGCTATGAGTCACAGGAAACCTGATGGCACATAACAACAACAACAACAATAACAACAACAACAACATATGTTTATTAGTTTGTCAGTTGTATCTGTTAGAAAACTGAAGAATGTCAGATATTTCTGGTTTATGGAAAAGTGAGTTTTCCCTTTTTTCCCTTTTAACTAAGTTATAGAGTGTTAGACTTCTAAGAGAGGTTATCCCTTCCTTTCTCTTTGCTTGAATGAGAAGCTGAAGAAACTTTCAGCTGGATTGTAGAAAAATCAAGTCTTCAAGTGCCAAGATGAGTTGAAAAATAGTATCATTTATTAGTGTGTGTGTGTGTGTGTGTGTGTGTGTGTGCATTCACACCCCCCCTTATATTTCACACATATATACATACATATAAGGCATTATAGTGGCTCACTGGTAAGGAATTGTGCTACAAATGTATGCAGTTTGAATCCACCAGCTGCTCTGTGAAAGCAAGATGGGTGATCTCCTAGATGACTGGAGGGTCAGCTATGGGTCAGTTCTGACGCCGTGGGACTCAAGAACAACAGTAAAATAGTGCCTTTGGTGGTGCGCGGCTAAGCACAAAGTCAGTAGTGAGGACCCATCAGTGACCCTGTGAGAAAAGTCTTCTGCAAGATTTACAGCCTGAAAAGCCTCCAAGGGAGTCTCCATGAATGAAGATAGACTTTGAAGAGATACATGTTATATATGCATATCTATACATATAAGTCATATGCATGCACAGATCTCTGGGGGCCTACCATGTATGTAGTCAAGAGGTTAACCCAAAGGCCACACTTTTTTGGCTGTTCAAACACACCAGTAACTCCCCAGGAGAAAGATGCAAAATCTCCTACTGTGTGATTTACAACCTCAGAAATCCACTGAAGGATGACGTGAATTCTGTACTCCAACTTGATGACAATGAACCCCAAAGGCATGCAGTTCGAATCCACCAGCTGCTCCATGGGAGAAAGATGTGTAGTCTCCTCCTGTATGATTAACTTCCTCTAAAAACCTGCAGAAGGGTCAGCTATGGGTCAGTGCCAACTCGATGACACACAACAACAACAACAATATATGTATGGGTCACTATGAGTTGTACTTGGCTCAACAGCACCTAACAACAACAACAACAACAACATCATGTGTGTGTGTATGTGTGTGTGTGGGGGGGTGTGTATGGATACATAGATACAAACAAATGAAACTCAATAAAAATCTGATGATCTACTTCTTAAAAATTTTACACTAAAAAAATTAAAAAATAAAAATAATTCTATACTGACACACACAGAGTTGAGATATAAATATGTTGCTGTCAGAATCAGCCACTGACTGACCCTCCAGCAATGTTCACATGGGAGGAGACTGCTCATCTTTCTCCCACAAAGCAGCTGGTGGATTCCACCCATATGCCTTTGGGTTGACAGCATAATTCTTTACCACAAAACAAGCAACCAGCACTTCCAAGCAGGAGTGGTATCCACTTCCTAAACAGCACGCTTCTGGAAACTCTGTGAACTTTGATAAATGGTGATGGTTGTAGAAGGGCTTCAGGCCTTTTGTTCATAGGTCGCTATGAGTCATGCTCAACTCGACTACAGTCTACAACACGACATTTTATATACATATTAGGATATTCATATATTGTTGTTATGTGCTGTCAAGTCAGAACCAACTCATCACTGACCCTCCAGTGGGTTTTCAGAGGCTGTAAATGACACAAGATGAGTTTATCCACCTTCTTCTCAAGGAGCAGCTCAGCGAATGGATTCAAACCTTGGTTTGGAATGATTTGGGTTGGCAGTACAGCTTCTCACCTCTAGATCACCAGAGGTCCATCTTTATAGACCACCGGAGCTCCATACACGATGGTCATGTCCTAACATGTACCGTCATGTCGGAACAGACTTAAAACTGACCCTCTAGCAAGTTTTCAGAGACTGTTAAGTGCACAGGAGGAAATCGCCCATCCTTCTCCAGTGAAGTAACTTGTAGGTTCCAGTCATGTTCTGGATTGGCTGCACAACTCTTTACCACTAAACCACAAACATATCTCTCTCTCTCACATAATACATACTTGAAATATATCTAACTGACAGGAGGTGGAAATCACAGCAATAACCTCTTTGATGTCCAAGGAATTCTTTGAAGATGATTACAGCAAATGATTGAATTTAGAAGGAAACTCGATGTGGGACAGACAGAAAAAGGAAAGAGAGAAATTGGAAAGGGTGGGACTGAGGTCCAGCTCTGTCTGTGGGATTCCATCGAGACATTAAAAACGTTTCTGAGCCTTATTTTTCTCATTTGAAAATTATTAATAATAATAACCACTCCATAATATTAGTGTGAGAACTAAATAATAAACTGTCCATAAAGTTGCTTCATAAACTGCAAGACACAATATTAATATGAAGCAATTTTTAGAACAAAACAGTGCGTTATTAAAGACAATTCTTTGTCTCTATAAGATGCCTTTCCCTCCTCCTCCTGAAGCCAGGGCTACCCTCTGCAAGAAATAATAGATTTCATGATTCTTATCAAAGCCCATTTCCTATCATCTAAATTAAAATCAAATTTAAAAATTAAAGGACACCTTGCTTGCCCGAGTTGTGTTGATTGTGACGTTCTTTCTGTTAGTGAATGTCTGGATTGAAATCTGTGTTTATTCACCGGGTGATAAGATTACATTCTCCTGGGTCTGGTCCTCACAGGGCCGGTGCTCTCTCAACAAGCAAATGCAGTGAAGATCAAAGTCTGATTTCTCTCTAAACAGGCTATTATTCACCAGTCTGTTGTGATTTCTGTGTCTCTGGAAAGAAACAGCAACACAATAATTTAGAAGTAAAAATAAGCAAGATGGACTTAACACAGTGACAGATTGTAATACAAAAGCAATTTAATGTGAAAAGTGAAATGAGGCCTAAAGGGCGAGGAGAGGAGAGTCCAGTCTTGGGACGTCTTGAGTGCCAGTGTGGAACATGCAGTGTAGGTCTGATCCGTAACGGCTTAGAGGAGTGATTCTGGAGTAAGAAAACATCCTGAATAAACTAGCGCTAATTGACTATCCTAACTATTTTGGAGGGAGATCTAGTCACATAGTCCATATAAAGTTGTGCTGTGCTAACCCAAAGGTTAAGATTCTCTGGCAGTTCGAATCCCTAAGCGGCTGCACGGAAGAAAGATGGGCAATCTCAGAAACCCAACAAAGGGTCAGCTACCAATGAGATCAGAGCTACTTTGTGGCAGGATTGTTGAGTGTATACAGTTTCTAGGTTTATGAAGAAGCAATATAATAACTCAGGGAATGATAAGCATCATTGGTCTTGAGGGTGGAAACAGAGAAGAGGTGCAAGTTGATAATTACTTAAAGGCCAAGAAACGCAGTCTGAAAACGAATTAGATAGCCAAAGATCAAGGGGTTAAAGATATTTCACGAAGACCAAAATACATGACTAGGTAGATGACAATACTATCGACTAAAGTGAAGACATTCGGAAGGATAAGGACGCTAAGAAGTAGAGATTGAGGGGAAAATGGTACTTTAATTGCATGTGTTTTACCCTGAACTATGTTCTTCTAATCTAGCGTTAGTGAATGTAAACTGAACTACTAGTTCCTAGTGTTTAAAACAATCCTAACATTAAGATGAAATGTCTAGAAGTGATTTCTGAAGAGACTTCTGTGAGTCAGCATAAGCTGACGAATGAAACGCTATTCCACAAAAGGATTTTGTTTGGTTTTTTTTCCCAAGCAAGATGATAATGGCTTTGTAAATGCTCATGAATGTAGAACACTTTGGAATTTTCATTAGCTTTTTAATTTGTTTTCTCTTTGACATTCATAAAACTTTCCATCTTCTCTTTGCAAGCTGTTAGTTTCAAAACATACCCATTATTTACAGTGCAGCATCATTTCCAGCGGAATGGATTTCAGTATTTTCCTAAGCTCCTGGTAAAGTCATAGCTACTCACATCTCTACCACCCAACCTTGACAACTCACAATGTTTCCCCCACAGGATCAGCACCTCAGCATGTTAGAGTATCATGTACCCGTCACAGCAGGAGGCGTAGCAAACATCTTTGATCTTCTAGAAACCAACAAGACTGCCTTAAATATCACAAACTTCTTAGTGAGTCAGACAACTCTGGAAGAGGTAAGATGGTTAACATGATTGTGTGTATTCAAACCATCAATTCACAACCGAGTGGTGCACCCAATGGCTTGGTCATAAGTAGGGCCTGACAAGTCAAACACTTCCTTTCTTTAACTTTTCATTGTTGCAGACCTTTACTATGAAGACCTTGATAAATCTCATCTTTGCACAACCACATGTGTGTGTTAGTATCTGGGGATGACAACATCCATGACTCATGCACTACAACTTTGGATGGGGACCTACATGCATGTGCTCACACATACACAAACACACATTTCCATCAGCCTTATGTGCAGTTTGTCATGACCTGAATATGTTGTAAATCAGGAGCCATCTTTACAAGGTCCCATACTAATAATAAGACATTTGGGTTATTTCTTTTTAATGACATTCAGTGTAGGGTTTTGTTTTGTTTTTTTAATTGAAGGCATATCTAATCTTGCACCTGCAAAATTTAGCAAAGAGCTGAAATTCTTTCTAAAAGCATTTTGGGCTAAAAAAGGAAACATGAAAACGTTAAATTTTTTAAATGACGAGATGAAGCTATTTCTATTCTACAAATCATCTGTATCTATCAGATGGTATGTAGATTATCAAGCATTTATACATCTAGGTAAAATGAAAAGAAATATTTTCACCTATAAAACAAACAGCTGTTAATTCATTTTTCTTTTAAAAAAATCTGCTTATTAGTCTCCTAAAAGAACATTTCTGCTGATTGACATCCTGGATTAGAGAGAGAGCTTTATATCATAAACCTAATTATAGTCATAGAGGTATAATTTTTAGCCTCCATTTAGGCTTTAAAGTCTGAAAGAGAATGTATGTGTGTTCCCCAAATCCCTATATGGAGTCTAGTTTCCTCCATATTTGCTCTTCCTTTGCATATGAATATATAGTAATGATTTCTTCCTTTGGTTTACCAGGCACTAATTACTTTCTTTCCCTCGAAAACTCAGGTTTTCATCAATTTTGCCAAAGATCAAAAGTCCTATGAAACAGCAGACACAAGCAGCCAAGGATCCACCATCAGTGTCGACTCCCAGGATGATCGGTTATAGTCTAAGCATCTCCTGAGAACTCAATCTCAGCAAACGGCCAGTGGCTCCATTTTAAGGAGGAGCCACAGAAGATGCTGCTTCTTCAAAATATCTTCATTTTTAAGTATTATGTTGTGTGGAAAGTTTTCTTTCTAAGGTCGTGAATGTTCTTGCTACTCAATTGAATGCTTGTACTCCCAAAACTATGAACATGTTAATATATTGGCTGGTAATTCTTAACACAAGTGAGACCACCTAGAGATGATTCTATTAATTTATTATTTTATACAAAAACAGCTTAAAGGGCATGGATAGTAAGTAGTAGTGGAAAAGTAAAAGTGAAGAAGAAAAGTCAAGTAGTTTGGGACAGTAGATTGCACAAGCAAACAAAATAATTTATTAAAAAAGAAAAATAGAATGACCATCATCATAAATGTACGCCTCTACTGTGATGTGTAAAGTATTAAGTGCCAGACACATATCAGCGGTAAGTTAGCAGGAGCCACAATGTCTACAATTTATACGTATGTCATTTTCAGTATTTGTAAATACACGGGCATATATTGCACTACCCCAAGAATGCACCTTTCTGCAAGATTCAGAGCAGTTTACCCTGGTGGTAAACAGAACTCAGATCCGCTCCTGCCGTGCCTTTGCTAATTAGAAGGCACAGGGAGGACCAAGAAGCTGCTACTCCTCAGGGAAAATGGGTGTGTCAGCTGGGCAGATACTACCCACAAAACCACTGGACTTATTCATGTGCTGCAGACAGGCGACATTTGTAACAGCTTTTACAGAAGCCCTCGTGTTCCAGGTCTACCCCCAAGACACATTCCTGTGGAGGAAAAATGGATGTGAAGATAATGGTCAGCTAATTACTCAGAATCATGTACATGGCTATGGGATAGGCTTCTTTTTATAACGCCAGATGATCTGGTCCTCTCTGAAGGTGTGTGTATGTTTGTATGTGTGTATGCAGTGTGTGCATGCCCAGATGTGTGTCTAGAAAAGCTGGCCACTTTGGCTTGACTGTTTCTGTTTCAGACACCAATAAACTCAAAGTGGAGAAAAATCAATTTGTGCAGTCATTTCCTTTGTTAGAGTCAGTCGCCTCGTATTGGGAGTCCTGCTCTCTACAAGGTCCCATGTATCGGGCCTCTGCTTACCCCATCCCTTCATTTTCCTTTTTACTCTTCAAGATCAAGCCATAATAACCTCTTTTTCATTTTTCCAGCGTGCCAGACTCCTTCCCATCTCTGGACCTTTGCACATGCTCCTTCCTGGCTTGGGATGTTTCCCCACACTATCTTGTGATCCCCACAGAAATTTTTTTAAAAATAAATAACCAGACCCTCTTTCCGAGTTTTCCATTGTCTGGAAACTCCATTAAAGTCTGTCTGTGAATAGCCTAATATTTGAAATACTGGTGGCGTAATGTGCAGTATCATAGCAACATACACAATCTACCACTGTATGACAAACGGTCAGACAGGTGATGGGCATCTTAATCGAAGTACTGAATATTTCTCTCCTTTCTTAGACTTTAAGGAAGTTATGGTGGCATAGTCATAGTCCCTAAATGGTTGTGTTGTTAACCCAAAGGCCACTCCTTTATTGTGGTTCAAATCCACCAGCAATTTTGCAGAATAAATAGGTACAGTTTCTTCCTTTGCAATTTACAGCCTCAGAAACCCAAGGAAGTGCACCTGTGAGTCATTCCACCTTGACAGAAATGAGTAGTAGTGGTGACAATGGTGGTAAAGGAGGAAGAGGAGGAAACTTGAAGCGCTAAGACACTAGAAAATCTACCTTAATCTTCCTGACTCCCCAGCCAATTTCTGGTGGACATGCAATACATATTTACTGGTTGGAGAAAGAATAAATAAATGTGTGAGAAACAAGACAGTTGTAGCATGGTTGATATGGAAACCAGGCATCCTAATTATATTTAAATCTCTGAAATGCCAGGGAAGTTTCCCACGAGATAAGTTATTCATGGAAAACAAAAAGAAAAAAAATATATATAATGTTTTATTCTATATTACATATACTACAGGGAATCCACTGGAAGAGAAGATTCTGAAATCTCCTTTGGAATTAGAATTCTAATGTCTTGCTTTTGTACATTTCTGCACATTCTCTTCCTCTTTGTCTTTTATTTTTCTGTAAGAATGTATGATACATTCCCTTCATGGTACCATTTAACATAGAATTGAGGAAGACACATGAAAAAGTCTTTGAAATCATATCCTTTTGTGCTTCTCTGCAGTGAGAAAATGTTTTGAGAATTCCCACTTCTCCCAGGACTGCCTCTCTACTCTGGCCGGAAAAGTGCAAAATCTGGGGAGCTTGGGGGGGATTTTTTTACAGATAGCCTGAATTTCCTCTGAGGAGTTTGGGGATTTTTGCTGCAGCTAGAAAAGCCCAACCTTAATAATATTAAAGGCGCAAAATCAGAAGAAAGAGTGTACAGCTTCCGTCTCCAAGGTGCGCTCTCTGCCTGACAATCCACTTCCCCCTTGATGGTTACAATCTCCTAGAAGGTCAAGACATAGCAGATTTTGCAAGGATGTGGGAGATGGAGTAGACCTCTTCTTAAAGGCCTCCTTAACTTAGATCCTCAACCCAATAATAGCAAGCTACCAGAAAATTGAGAGTCCCTGGGTGATGCAAATGATTAACACATCTGGCCACTTACAGAAAGATTGGAAGTTCACTTCCACCCAAAGGCACCTGAGAAGAAAGACATTGTGATCCACTCTGAATATTCAGACATTGAAAATCCTACGAGGACTACTTGGACACACCTGAGGGTTTCCAGGAGTTAGAATCAATAGCAATTGGTCAGTGATTAAAGAAAATGATATTTCCTTCAGCATCATGCGTTACTAGTATAACAATAGGTAAATACTATTATTCCCTTACCTATAAAGCCTGAATGAGTTTCCATAAACCATAAACCTGGATACTGATACTCAGTGTATTTTATATTCTCCATTCTTTCTATTTATCTCCATTATTCACAATCAACATTCTTGGCACCAGCAGCTAGGAAATTAAAAGACAAATTGTGATGGGAAAGTCTGCTGCCAGAGACCTCTCCAAAGTACTGAAGAACAATGATGTCAATCTGGAGGCTAAGGCATGCCCGATACAGGCCATAGTCTCTGCAATCACTTGCTTTGCATCAGACAGCTGGACAATGTCTAGGGATGATAGAAGGAGAATGGATGCCTTTTATCTGTGGGTTTGGAGAAAAGTATTGAATATACCATGGACTACTAAGAAAATGAACAGGTTCATCCTGGAGAGGGTTAAACCAGGCTGCTCCTTAGAAGCAATAATTCTGAAGCTTCACCTGACATACTTTGGACATGTTGCCAGGCAGGACCAGTTCTTGGAGAGGGACAACATACTTGCGAGGGTGGAAGGACAGCCCAGGAAAGGAAAACCATCGAAGATATAGATTGATTCAGTGACTGGGTTAATGGGGGTAGGTGTGTCGGAGACAATAAGATTGGCACAGGATAGAGCTGGGCTTAGAGCTGTTGTACATAGGATCGCTATGCGTTGTGGGTGATTCGACAACACTTAACAACAACAACAATCTAGTAATTTCAATTGTTTCCTACATAGCTGAAGATTGGAAAGTTATTAAGGAAGACCAAAGAAGAGTTGATGCTTTTGCATTGTGGTATTGTTGGAGTGTTGAACACTTCCTAGACTGCTGAAAGAACAAACGAGTCTGTTTTGGAGGAAGTGTGAACAGAGTGCTTTTTTAGAGGCCATGGTGTTGGAACTTAGTCTCACATTCTTTGAGTATGTTGTTAGGAGACACCAGTCCTTGGAAAAGGCCATGATGCTGGGAAAGGTAGAGGACCAGAGAAACAGAGGAAGACGCTCAACGAGATGATGGATTGATACAATGACTACAAGAGGCTTGAACGTGGTGGGGATCCTGGCAATGGCACAAGATCGGGCAAGAGCTGCCATGAGTCATAATCAGCTTGACAACACCTAACGACAAATCCAGTCCGTACTCCAACTTCAGTAAATTGCTTGTTGTTATTTAAATCAGATCCTTTCTCAGTCTGGGGCCACAATGTTCACATTCTTTTTCTTTGCAGAAAACCCTCTTCATTTTCTCAGAGTTCATCTAGTTCTGCACACAAGGTACTAAGAGAAAAACACTTCTCTCTGCAGATACATCAGTTATAAGCAGTTTATCATCTCTTCAGAAATAATTCCCAGTGGCTCACCTTTCAGGCCTATGAGAAGGAACAATATTACCAGTGAGACACTTCTTCCTTAGAGCAATAACCAACCATAAGAAGTCAAAAGAGCAGCACTTGCCTGAGGGTAAAGCCTTGAAGGCAGAAAGGGGTAGGTTAGGTTTAATGAAATAGAGAATCACAGGGAAGAAGTGAGAAGAAAGCCACTACACTGTGGGCATTGTAATTAATGTTATAAAAGAAAAATATGTATATCCGGTTAAATGGAGAACCAATTTGTTCTGTAAACTTTAACATATATTATAACAGTAAAAATAAAATAATTTCCATCCACAAAACACACACACACACACACACACACACACACACACACACACACACACCACTTCTCTCAAGTCATTACCACAGACAACTGGAGATGGTTTGAGAATACAGAACCTCACTGGGTCTTTTATAGCCTCATCTACTCAGACAAGTTGACCATCCTCCTGGTAAACCTCCTTCAGTGAATATGGAATGTGCATAGATATGCATACTTTTAGCTAAAACAAGGAAAATAAAGAAGGTGTACACCAGGGATGTGTCCTATCTCCATAACCTTTTCAACCTGTATGCAGAACAGATTATCCGAGAGGCTGGGCTCTATGAGGAGAAGTGTGGAGTCAGGATTGGTGGAAGATCTATTAACCATCTGAGTTATGCAGATGACACAACCCTGCTTGTTGAAACTGAGGAGGACCTGAAATGCTTGCCGCAGAGGGTCAGGGACTGCAGCCTTCAGTATGGATT